TCCACGAAGAAATGACTTTTGGAGGCTCGGAAGATGTTATTCGTAATCAGCTCGTTAAACTGAATCTGAATATGTATAATAAAGTCAAAAATAAATTCCACTGTAGGTTTGCATTAGCTGAACCTTATCATTTTCAAGAAAACGACTTGCAAAGTGAAAAAGCCATCATCACATATCATACGATTTTCATGTTTTATTTTAGATGAAAGAGAAGAAGAAATAATAGAAAATGAGAGGTATATGTTTGACAATTTTTACATGTATGAGAACTCTTCTACATCTCGAACAGCAGGTAGCCGTTGTGTAGTATAATGATTTTCGATACGTGGGTGTTTTCTATAAAAACAAAATTGACATACTAATCAATCGATCAGAACAATGCAGACATCAAGAAATAGATCGAAAATAACTTTTTTTTGCTTTTATATATTCTACCTTCATCTTTAAAATATGAGCGAACGTATTGTTCGTCCATCGACAGTGACAAAAACATATGCAATTTATCCATCTCATAATGACAGTTCGGATGAGTCAGATTATCGAATTTTAAAAGCTTATCCGGTTAAACAATCAAAACCAAATCGACCATTACAGTCCCATGAAAAAACATATCTGTGGTTAAAACATGCATCTCGATCAGGTAAAAGATTCCGATATAGAGATATAGCTGGGTGACTTTTCACTAGACTCTTATTTGTTTAGTAAAAGGATAACCGCGAGTATTGTTTGAATAATTTCGATAGAAAAACAACAACGAAGCGTTGTGATTTTCATCATTCTGTAGTCAAGTGTTTGGTTCATCTTTCATTAAAAAAAATAAGGTTTAGAGAAAATGTTCAACATTTGAGTTCGCAGATACTATTAGCACTCTTAAGCAACGTGCAAAAACTGGATATTTTACTGACATCATTTCTAGTCTAACGCTTGCTGAAGTGACCTAAAACTATTTGTTCTAACCATTGTAAAAGAAAAAATCTTAAATCATGCACTTTGGCAAAAAGTGATCAATATTTTATAACGTTTTTACATGAGGAGTAACCAGAGCAGAAGTAACTGGATAGAAGCTCAAAATGTTTTAGGTAATTTGTAGTATCTTAAGTAATGTTGCTGCCTTTTAGCAGTTTTTTTAAACAAATGATAATTTGTGCTGAAAGGTAATTTCAGCTATTATTAACCAATGGTCTTGGCTGATGTTCGAATAATTCGAGAACTAGTAATCCAAAAATTAGATGGAGCATTGGCAATCGACCATGTTGAATCTTGTGGGAATATTTACTTTTGAAAAAAATCCAAAAAACCTATTAAAAATGGATCAGTTGTAAATTAACCCATTTCCACCTACTATTAAAAATTCCTAACTTCGTCAAAATCAATTAGATCGGCCTGAAAACTTCAGAAAATATTTAATTTAGGCTACTTGATGTACGATTAACGAAAAAAAGATGCAGTGAAGTCACTCCTCTTTCAAACGATAAAAATCCGAACTGTACACCTGTTTTTGAGTTATTAAACAGCTGGGGCCATTGTTTTTTCTCTGCGATAATAGTTATGCCTTGTCGAAATATCGAGTGAGTTCATTGCTCTAGAGAACTCGTGATGTTAGTGGTTAAGTTAATGTTTTTGAAATTCAATTGTGCGGCTTCAACAAGCAGGAGTTATCGGCGTACTTTATTAAACAGTTTATGAGACAATTTTAAGGTCGTCTTTGATGAGAAATGAGAGATATGGATATGTACCCATAAGTTTCGACATGCTTTATATAAAAACAGTCATGATAAGTGCAGTATGATGTTTACGGTGGTTAATTAGCTATTTTAATAAATTATAGATGAACGAACGTCAATTAGACCTGTAGAGCCACGAATACTAAGTGTGAAAAAAATACCAGTTCGTCCTCAAAGACATGTGAGATCAGCTATTCAACAAACAGATGACATAATCGAACCTGCACCAACCTCAAATCAATTACAATTCTCTCAAGTAAAAGACGTACGTGCTATTACGTTTAGGAGTGCTACTTTACTTTCACTAATTATTAAATTACATTATCTGGTAAAAGTAATTAATGTTTGTTACTTCTTATCGGTAAAAGGTTAATAAATCTTGTTGTTTTATTACTTATCACTTGGTAAAGAATAGTAAAGTGACACCCCTACTTACATTGTTTTTCTCGACATAGAATTAATGTATGATTCGGCGTGATAGACTGTTATAGTGACTCTGTTTCACATTTTTTTCCATTTAGGAGGAGAAACTTGCACCTGATCGTAATCCACGCTGTTTAAAATGTTTACGGATCTTCATACTGATACTCAATTCTTTGTTGTTATTAATCTCTATACTATTACTAATATTTTCCTTAAATCTATTATTAAATCCATCAATGACGAAATTGCATTACATTGCTATCGTGTTACCTCAAGCAACTCCATCTTCGTCATTTTCGAATACTAGTGCAACTGACACATTACTTGTAACAGCAATTGTAGGGCTTATATTTGGGTGTTTATTTCTAATTGTTTCTGTGTTGGTGTATGTTACAGTTATATTTCGTCGACGCTTACGTTATCTAGCTGCCATATTTCTTTTATTTACATTTCTCATGCTAGTCGGCTTGATCATATTTTTGGCAATCGTCGGAGATACAGAATTACAACGACTAAGCTACAGTACATCATTAATTGTTCTCAGTTCATATTACAAAGTGAGTTTAGTACAACAGGGTTGGGATTTTGTACAATATTATTTCAGTTGTTGTGGTATCCAAAACAATACGGATTGGCTGGTACCACCGACAGGTGGGTGGATATCAACATCTCAATTACCACGCTCATGCTGTGGTCATGATTCTCATGATGCTGGCTATATTGGACGAATCTTTGTTGCTTCTTCAGTACCTACTCTAACGGGTTATTGCTACTATGGTGATATCGAACAAGCGACGTGTTATAGTTCTATTAAACAAAATCTCATTCTAGCAGTATTAGTGTTTCTATCGATCGTAGCACTACTCATTCTCGCATTATTTATATTAACAATCATTTGGTTTGTTCAAAGTAGAAAAAGACAAGCAAAACAGGACAACCCAGCAATATCTGAGAATAACAACAATTTCCGTTCGACAAGGGAATTAAGAACTACTGGGACTGAAACGATGTCATAGTTGGAAAGGCCATAATTATTAGCAGAACTATTATATTAACTCAAGCAAAACCTATCTGAAAATTATTGAGATGCATTTGTTAGGGCATATTGTGATGTTTTAACAATAGCACTTAGTGAAATAAAAGCGAATGGCAGCGCCATTGCACTGCGTAGTCAAAAACAAATCGAAAAATTAAAATCAGAGTTACAATTTTTTTGGGTGCTCCTTTAAGTACCACAAAAACAAATATTTTTTCGACTGTCACTTTCATTCTGCTCGAGAAATAAATATTCTTCAAAAGGTCGAGGATCGTCAAGGTCTTCGCAAGACAAAAAGTATAGATCAACGCAAAAGGTAGTAATATTACAAAGTTATTAATAACTTATGCAATGGCGAATTTAATGGTGCATGTGGTGATATCTTTCAGGACAAATGTCAGCATATGCATCGAGAAACAAAGCTGTTTATTAGTGTTTAAACACTTACTTTAAGAGGATTCATAAAAAATAATGCTAAATGGGACAGATTGAAGGTTCTAGTTGTTATAGAATAAAGTTGTTATCAGCTAGTTATCATCTAAATAATTGACAAATTAGCTGAGGAGTTCCTTCGTGGACTTGAAGGACAAACATTTTTACAGATATAATCTAATCATAGAAAAAGTGTTTTGGACAATGTTTCAGTCATATCGCGGCAACATATCAGTCATATAGCTAGAGACGTGGTTTTTTTCAAAAGTGGATATACTATCTTTGGCAAGTAAAATTGAAAAATCCGTTAAATAAATCCGTTTAGGTACACAAAACATAGTAGAACATGAATGGTATAATGGTGTTAAACTTCACTCATAACAACAACTAGGCTAACGGGTGTTGCAAAAGTTTTGATAAAATTTTATTTTTGATATAGCGTTGCGATGGAATATCTTACAGACTTTATCCTGTTTTTGTTAGAAAGAGCAAAGTGTCTAGTTCAAAAATATATAAAAGTGTTTGATCGGAAATGTTTCTCGAAGGCCATAAAAGTCTTAGAGCACAAGGCATCGTAAAATTGTTCCGCAACTTCGGTTTTTTTATTCAAATGTATTTATTTGACCTTTTCATTACCCACTTTCGATGTTTTCGAGCACTATACATATGAAGTCGTTCATTACAACGAAGGCTTTTGTAAAGGGGTGAACACATTAGAAGACCCGGGGTCTTCTATTCTGTCCTATCGATCACAAATTTTAGGGGGATCTTCTATTGTGTCCCTTAAAAAGAAGTTATATTTTTCGGTACCCTCAGTAATAAAACACGCAGTTCAAAATCGTTATATTTGACCACATTTTGTTTCGTTCAGAGAAAGAAAAATATTTTTGCGCTTCAGCTACAGAGATGCATATTCAAAGAAGTACAAAAAGTAAAAATATTTGCAAAAATTCTTAAAAAATCAACCTTTGTTAAGAGGAGGGCTTCTAATCTGTCTTTTGCTTCGCTCACTCAAGGGAGATCTTCTATTACGAGGAGTCTTCTAATGTGTCCACCCCTTTATAATATTAAAAAAGTTGGTCTTGCGTACAAGAGACTGAACAGAAGACCGTTTGATTAAAAACTCAATTTGGCGTTTACAACGCGAAAACAAGTTTTTGTCCTAATATCCTACAGAGCAGCTATGTTCCATTTCAAATAATATCGTTTGACAGAGGACTCAATTCGCTTTCTTTTCATATAAAGTATATAGTTTCTGGCAACTTCCTTCTAGGAGTAAAATTTCTTGAAATTGATAAAAACTTGTTCGCTATTTTTACTAATTTTTACACAGACAGAATCTGAGATGCTTTATAATCTAGCATTAACAGAATTTGTTTAGATCAGAGATTCGTAATAGATTCAAGAAGATTCTAGATTTGAGTAAAGATTTTGAGAGGCTGAATGAGAACGAATGAATATTCTATTCGTGATCACCAGCATTAAAAGTGATTCATAATTAAGTGAGCTGCAAGAAAAGATCAAAATGTCACTATGGGAGCTTCCCTCGTAAGTTGACTTTAGAATATGATTATCCCGTAATGACTTTAGCTATTTTTCAACATATTCTACAACAAAGTGGACCGTCTTATTCGACGTTATTAATTAGAAAAATTTCTAACAGAAATTAAACGGCTTTTAAAAAGTAAACTGAAAAATGATCACACTGGTTGTGAAATAACATCTTTTCGTATTTTCAAGTCCATCAATGTAAAATAATTTCTAAATTCCCCAAAGTTTTGGAGGAAAGATTCTCTGATGACAAAAAAAATGTCAGAGTTTTGAATTTTAAACTGTGAAGTTATTTTCGATCTAAATTTAACAGTCAAAACTTTGACTGAGATTGAAGCCATTTTAATTTAGTTGACTCTGAATGATTTGACGATAATTATAGTCTTCAATAGTTTCTGGAAGAAGTGAATAGACAGATAACAATTTATTCACTATTTTATTCACAATGGTTCTTGCTAGAATATGTAGAAGTATGGCAGGGAATGTAATTACAACTCCAATGTATTAGTTTCGTCGTTAATAATTTTTCGAGGGATGGACAGATTCTACCAGTTTCGGAAGTTCTCTTTTCAAACCAGAATTTTGCTGATCTAACACGAGTTTCATATTCAACTAATGACGTACTAGCTAACCTCGTAATTATTCAGAATTAACACAAATTTTCTATATTTGAATTTTAGTTCCTAATTTTGATTAAAGGAGAAATTCCTACGAAAGGAGAGAAGTCTCTTGGGGGAAGAGGAATTCCTTCTAAGTAACAGAGAAATTCACGTTGAAATTTTTGAAGTTCTCGTATAAAAAGAAAATTTGATTTCTACTTGCGCTGAACTGAGAAATTCATGAATTTTCTGAAGCCAGATGTCAAACTGAAAATAATCCAATAACATAGTATATCGGAGTATCAAAATTCCGATTATACAGAAAAAATCTCGTGAGAAAAGAGAACTCCGAAAAGAGAATCCGAACACTGCTACAATATTCTGGCTCAATTGTATCATTAATAAGAATAGTTTGAGCGTTAGTATCTTTCAGATACACATTCTATACAGGCCTCTCTACGATCTGATCGTCGTCTTATTTAGCAAAGATTATCTGACAGTAATTCGGTCACTGAAAGATATTCTCTATCATTTTTTTCTAAAGTATTTTTTATATCTTCTAAAAACGCAGTTACTTTCATAATCAGAAAGGACGGGGGACGATAAGACCACAAATCCGCCCACTACCAAATCCATTATGCAGTAACTCATCTGATGCAGTTTTTCTTGCCCATTAAACCTATCATATTTTTAGCCAATAAAAATCCTTTCGAA